TTTTAGTAAATTTTTATTTAAAATAACTTTGTATACATAATATACCTATATAGTTATTTACATAGTAGCTAACCCATCAGTACTTGCAAAGTCTCCTTTTTTGTAAGCCCGAAAATTGAGTTCTAAAATACCATTATCCACATAACTACTATATCAAAGTACAATCTAATGGATTGATCAAGTAATACTTAATTTTTACCTTGAATTGCGTGTTAGTATATATATATATATATATATATATATATATATATATATATATATATATAATATATATATATATATATATATATATATATATATATATATATATATATATGATTTTGATATATAAATTTTAATTATTATGTTTGTTGATTAGTTTTTAAACTTTAAGAAGTGTAAGAATTACAATTTTATTTTTACATGTTTATTTATATTGTAGTGAAACTGTCGGTATCTCCACAACTTTTCAATTAAATAGAAAGTTTCAATTAAACAGGATCCTGAGTGTGCCTACTGCTCCTCAAGACAATGGATAATGGGAGTTATCAAACTTTATATATATATATATATATATATATATATATATATATATATATATATATATATATATATATACATATATATATGTATATATATATATATATATATATATATATATATATATATATATATATATATATATATATATATATATATATATATATATATATATGTTGTACAGATATTGTTACAAAGTAATATAATACTATATAATATTGTATTACTATGTTTAGGAAGGGCACTGCAGTTGTCCTGCAGTTATGCAACTTATCAACCCATAACTGCGATAACTGCAAGTTTTTTAATAAGGTTTTTATTATATAAATGTTATATTTTACAGAGTTTTAAAGAAAAGTTCTCTGTCGATTGTTCTATAATTACTCAATGTACATTCTACTAATGTACAATCTTCTATAATCTATAAAACTAAGGATTTATAAAGTTGTTAAATGAATGATTTATATGAATAGAATGAAGATGTTTATTGATTTATTTTTATTATTTTTAGAAAAGAGATTATATGACTTCGGTATTCGCAATACGGTATCGTGCATATTTCCGTATAGGTGGAAATAGAAAAGGTTATGTCCTTTTTTCTAATTCTTAACACGAAGAGGCTTAATCGGTTCAAACAAATATGACGATGATCATTATGGAGCCGATCATGATGACGAATACGATAATGCATATAATATTAAATAAAATGATTTTACTTGTATCTTAGACTTATATAAAAAAAAAATTATTTGTTTAATGTTTGATTTGTTTATGAGTATTTAGATAATGCGTTCAGCGTTTAACTTTTTTTTACGGTGCTTATTTAAAGCAGCTTAAATAAAAGAAAAGTTTGATTCGTTTATCAATATTTTGTATTTATTTATGCTTCTTTAAATAAAGTTTAACGTCGCGAAGTTTTAAACGAAAGATTTAGATACAGTTTAAATAGCGTTTAAAACGAACCATTTAGATGTGGTTTAAATGGAACATTCGATTGACCTACGTTCTAAATCGAAACTAAATTAAATCAAAACATTTAGAGCGAACATTAACTAAACGTTGATTAAATGTTCGAATGCCCGTTGGGTAATATAGATTTGGTAAAAATAGTTTTTAAACAACTTTTAGAAACAAAGGCTAATAAAAAATAACTTCAAAAGAAATCATTTCTAAAACTATGTACAATATTATGTAATAAAACTATTTTTCATTCAATTTCATTCGAGAATTTATAAAAAAATAATTTAAGGTACTTCTTTACAATTAAAAAGGCGAAAATTTATAAATGTTATAGTTTATAAATGTATAAACTATACATATATAAACTATAATTATATATATATATATATATATATATATATATATATATATATATATATATATATATATATATATATATATATATATATATATATATATATATATATATATATATATAAACTATACATATATATATAAACTATACATATATAAACTATACATATATAAGCTATAATTATATATATATATATATATATATATATATATATATATATAATATATATATATATATATATATATATATATATATATATATATATATATATATATATATATATATATGTATATATATATAATTATATAATTATATAAAAAATAGTTCATAAGAATTAATCTTTTAGTCATTACTATCCAAAAATTTCTAAAATTGGCAACGGTTAAGTTAATGAATGTATATATATATATCATTAACTTAACCGTTGCCAATTTTAGATATTTTTGGATAGTAATGACTAAAAGATTAATTCTTATGAACTATTTTTTGGCTTTATAAATTTCCATTTAGTTTTATAATAAATATTATAAACTGAACATCAATAATTTTTTTAGCTTGTATGTGAATTTATAAAACTCAATCAAACAATGAACAATATTAACTTTATAACCGGCTCATGCTGAGGGGTATTTTACAACAAGCACATGGTAAAATGCCTATGCTGTGGCCAAGGTAGCGGCATAGCAGGTGTTTTTATATTCTATATTTTTATTTAAAAATTATATATTATAATTTTTACGATTTTTCATGTAAAAAAAAACTTTGCGGTAAAAGATTTACCACACGTTGTTATACCTTAAGATAAAATTAATTTAAATGCATACTTTATTACTTTAACTAACACTCATAAAAAGATTTTCTACTTCGAAATGCCCCCCCCCCCCCCTCGTCGCTGCATGTTTAACAAAAAATTACTTTACAAAAGTGTATATATATATATAGTTTGCTTTAAATTTTTTATTCAAGTCATTGTTTTTAGTAATTAAATAAATAATAAACACCTGCTAACGACGCGTTGATCAATTAATTTTAATTGACCAACGGTTTGTGGTCAAAATAAATAAACTAAAAAACCCGCTTTCAATAATTAAAACTGAAAAAATTAAATGACAGTTTCAATATGATGAAGCTAGATTTGTATTATTAACTTTAGAGGCCAAGTGTGAAAAGAAGATTAACAGTATTGTAGATATCGAGGCTGACATTATTTTGAAGGGTTTGAATATATTGGATGAGATTAAAAGGCATTTTTATATTTTTAATAAACATCAATTAGAAATGGCCATGTTGGATGGCAAAGTAGCAACAGCCCTCAGTGATATAACTGATTCGATTCTTTGTTGTTCTATTCGTGGGGCAACACCAAGTGAAATGAATAATCTAGATTTTTATGAGAAAAGCAACGCACTTGGTAAATCTGGCTTTTCCTATGGAACTTCTACTGCATGGATCAGATGTATGGAGTATTTTATGACTAAATCCCAGCCCTCTCCAAAATGTGGGGGTTATAAATTTTATATGGCCATATTTTATTATCTCTGAAAGATTATTTCGTGAAATTTGAAACATTCCAACCTAGTCAAATTAAGTATTTTGTATTTTTTGTTCCCAGGCTCCAATCACCAGAATTTTTTGCTAAAGGTTATTATTTGATGTAGCCTTAAACATACATAAGTAGGAGTTTGCACAACGTTTGAATGTGTCAAATGTGCAAAACTAAAAAATCAATATAATCAATATTTTTAAATACCATTTTTTATCTCGGTCGATTAGAGTTTTTTTTTAACGGACACTCAAATTCTGAGAAGTGAATGCCCAGATCAGGCTGTAGACTTTTTATCTTTGTGAAACTAATGTAAATAGTGGCTGCTTCATTTTAGTTGTCAATGTTAATAGTTGTTATTTTTTTATTTTTAAAATAGTCAAATTGTCCAACAGTGACGTGCTTGGTTTAAACTTCAATAATAGTTTAACTCTTTAATATATATAATGAATTTAAGTTTGTCGTAAGAATCTTTTAACTATTCTTATATGTGCTTTCATTAAGCATAACTCGACCACATTTTTTTTTTATTCTTTATAATTCTTTATGTTCTTGAAACTACATTTTTTTAAATTTAATTTCTGATAATAAACAGATAGATAATGATTTGATAAACCTCTTTATCTTTATCCATCTGCACATATTGCTGTAAGTCGCAATTTTAATGAGTTGATTGGCTCTAGTAACAATATCCAATAAATTGATTGGTTTTAGTAATAATAACCAATATGGTTCAAAAAAGACAATAAAGTTAGAAAATTTTGTTTTTCTCAATATTATAACTATATAGCAATACATATCTAAATAGCTAACTGTGATTTTCCCTAACTTACTTATTATTAGTAACTTACTTAAACAATCTGATTAGCTTACACTCACAACATGATTTAAGTTACTATGACACTGATCCTGGATAGTGCTCAGTTTCTCCTCGTTCTCCTTTAATGGTTCAGACTTTCAATCTCAATAAAAACCTCAAACTTTTTCTTAATCAGATATACTTTTTCACTTCTTACTAATATTTCATGGCTCACTAGAGTTCCATTTGTGATTATGTTTGTGATTGCTCATAGACTGATGCATTTTGCCTAATTATTAAAAAATAGATCTTCTGCAAAATATCCTGGACTAAGGTATTAAAACATTTATTTTATCCTTTTTGTTTTAATTCAAACCTTACTTTTTCGCATTCCCCTTTTTCTTCTTTGTACAGCTGCTATTTTTAATCATAATCATGTTTTTCATTATTTTTATCATATTTTCTTGAGAACAAATGAATTATTATTGCAAAAAGTTAATTCAAATGGTCTGATGATAAATCCATTAATAATATAAAACGCTATAAAAATGATTTAAAAATTATTATTTAGTATTTAATGATAAGCCTATTACTATTGCTATATATAAATCCATTACTAATAATTCAATTATTATCAGATTATTAAATCTCATATTTTGTCAAAAGAATAGGTACTAGAAATAGTAGTACTAGGTACTAGATATTAAAGAGATTTATAAAAGTCTTTATTAGTGTTATTACAACTTTTCCTCTAATTCACCTCACCACCCTCACCACCACCCTCACCACCATTCACCTCTTGAATGTAATGACAAGATCTTTTATGAAATAATATGTTAATACTTTTTTAGACATCAAAATTAATCCAAACTTCGTTGATAATGTTATTACTAGGTAAAACCTTATTTTTAAACAAATTCCCTTTGATCGAGAGTGCAAGAAATGGCTATTTGAGTTAAGAGTTATCAGAAAACAAAGTAGAGATTTAGTAGCAAAAAATTGATTAGCAGCAAACTTAAAAAATTTAGTTGTAAATTGAATAAGAAAGATGTGAAACCAGAAAAAATTTTGAAAGAATTGATATGAAACAAAAAAAAAATGTAATAAAATTTTCTGAAACATTATTGAAAAACTACAATCAACAGAAACCTTAAATTTATTTATTAAGTTTATAAGCTAAAAAATTTATATTTAATTAAAAAATGTTAGAAGTCTACTTTAATATTAGTATCAACTTACTCAGTCTCCCCTTATACTGTTTTATCTGTTTCCTTACTTGGTGATTATAATATTGATCTGATGCAGCCAAATAATGATTATAATCAAATCATCTATCAATCAAATAATGATTATAATCAAATACAATCAAATAATGATATTTTCTTTTTATAATATTCACCCTTTTATTACTTTGCCGACTAGAATTACTGATCACTCTGCTACAATTATTGATAATATTTTCTCTAGTTTAATAGCTAATGAAATTGTTTCAGGAAATTTGACAACTTCTGTTTCTGATCACTTACCTCAATTTTGTATTTGTCCCAATTTCAATAAAATTATTTATACCACGCAGACACAATTTATATGGCAGGAGTTTTAAAAACTTTAACAAAGAAAACTTTAAATTTGATTTATCAAAAATTGATTGGGACGATAATACAATATCCAATGATACACTTGTTTCCAAACGTTTATTAGTGAAACAACATTGATTTTAGATCGCTAAAATCAATGTTTCAACGCCACGCTTAAAAAAATAAGTATCAAAAACTTCAAACGCCAATTTAAAACATGGATTTATTTAATTTATTTAATAATAACTGTGTACATGTACAATGACAATGGCGGAGCCTAGATGATCTAGGCTTTAACAGCCAATTTATGTTAAAAATAAGTCCAACTTTGGTTTAAATTGTTTAAGTGTTTTAAAATCTACAATGTTTTGGTCTGAGTTATTCCAGCTGTTAATAACACGGTTTGTTAAAAAATAGTACCTTTTTAGATTTTTAGTTAATTGTCTATGAAACCTCAAATTGTGACCTCTCGTATTTGAAGCTATTAAATCTGGTATTGAAATGTTAAACTATCTTTTTTTTTTTACTATTTTGTAAAGTTGGATTAGGACATTACGTTTGCGTCCATTTTCAAGAGTCTTTTATTTAAAGTAGGTTAGTCTACTTTCATAGTTTTTCCCTTGAAAACATTTTATTCGTGTTGCTTTACGTTGTCTCGATTCAATTTTTTTTTTATCTTGTTCGTAGTAAGGATACCACACTGAATTTGAGTAGTCTAAATACGGTCTTACAAGAGAGGTGTACAATAATTTAGATGCGTTTATGTCTAAATTTTTAAATGAATGTTTTATTATTCCTAACATTTTATTAGCTTTATCAGACACATAATTAACATGACTAGACCATTTTAAGTCATTTGAAATCATAATTCCTAAGTCTTTTTCAATTTCGGTTTCTGGTAGTTCAACTCTATTTAACACTGAATCATACATTGTGTATATATGCTTAGTATTTTTGCTACCTATATGCATGCGTTTATATTTGCTAACGGTATACTTTCAATAAACCTACTTTCAAATATTCTTAAGTAACTTTCGATAAAGTTACACTTAAGAATATTTACTATGCATTATTCTCATCTCATCTTAGCTATTGTTGTCAAGTTTGATGTCAAGTTAAAAACTATCGCATTAAAAAGTTGCTATCGCCTCAGCATCAATCCGTCTGATTAATAAACTTCCAACCAATTAATTTAGATACATCAAAGTCCTTCAAAAAACTTTTCATTCCAACAATTCCAGCGCTAGTAAAGTATGCTATCTAGCGCTGGTAAAGTATACATCTTCTTTTTGTTTTTGACTCCTCAAATAAAAACATACCATCTCCAATCACAAAATTGTTCACAGAAAGTAGACTAATACATTCCTCGACTAGAAATATACACAATCGAAAACTAAATGTACCATCTTTTAAAACCCAGAAGTATGGTAAACATTCTATTGTTTATCAGTGTGAATGGAATAAGAGCCTTGCATGCATTTTGAATGAGTCCAAAAAATTATATCCTAAAATATCTTTACTCCATCTTAAAAAATATCAAATAAAAAAATTCTAAAAAATTTTTTATTCTAATTTTTAGGCATTATTATCTTTACGATTAAAATATTATTTTAATTTTCTCTTCGTAATTACTACAGTTATCATCAGTACTTTTTGTTTATATTTTTCTTTTTTTCATTATTAAAACCTGCAAATTGATTTCTACATATTTGTTTTGATGTATATATTATGTGCTTTGGTCTGTGTGTTTACGGTCCATGTGTTTCAGTGAGTGTCTTTGCTTATTATTACTTATATTAAAAATTGGTGTCACTCATTTAATCAGATTTCTGTATGACATCATTCTAATAAATCATTAACTTTATAATAATTAATTTATAATAATAAAAAAATATATATAAATAGTTTTATGCTTTTAACTACCATTTAATATTAGTTATTACTATTATTTTTTCATTGTAATTATTGTAAACATACTAATTATTACTATTAATATAATTTGTATATATATATATATATATATATATATATATATATATATATATATATATATATATATATATATATATATATATATATATATATATATATATATATATATATATATATATATATATATATATATATATTTAATCTTATATTATTATAATACATAACTATTATTATTACTATTAGTATTATTATTACTATTATTATTATTGTTATTATCAAAACTATTGTAAAAATGATTTACGGAAAATAAATGTTGTTGCTTGTTGTTGCTGTTGCCGTTGTTGTTGTTGTTGTTGTTGTTGTTGTTGTTGTTGTTGTTGTTGTTGTTGTTGTTGTTGTTGTTGTTGTATTAAGATATAAAAACTTTATTATAAAAAAAATCTCATTAACCATATTAATTTGAAAAGTTATTACTGCAGTTTACCATTTTTATCTTCTATGTGGTCCTCTCTCTTTTCTATTAATTTATTTTTTTATTTGTATTTTTCTATTTTATTGAAAAATAATTGTAACTTATTAATAATTTATAAACTTGTTGTTAATTTTTTATTTATTTTATTTATAAATTTTTATTTTTATTTATTTTAATTTTTATTTATTTTATTTATAAATTTATTAAAAAAATTTTTTTTAGAAAAGTATTTAAATATAGAGTTATTTGAAGAATAAAACTACCTTAACTTTTCTTTTCTTTTTTTTTGAAAGATGAACAAATGCACCAATAATAATAATGCTTATTAAAATTATGACCACAACCACAATGATCACAATGTAGGACTTATTATTTAACGTAGAAGCAGCAGGTTCAGTAGTACTTTGGTCAATAACTATCAAAGTTGGGTCAGGTTGAATTTGATTGTTATATACCATTACATTAAAGCCGTTGCTTGTTAAACTTGATCTAACATTTGATTCATAGAGATTTAAATTATCTTGTGATCCTCTGACTTGAGAAATTACAAAAACACTTCCTATCATGAATTAAAAATTAAAATTAATTTAATATAATGAATAACAAAAATAAAAGACAAGCATAACTAAATTTTTTAATTATATAATTATATATATATATATATATATATATATATATATATATATATATATATATATATATATATATATATATATATATATATATATATATATATATATATATATGTATATATATATATATATATATATATATATATATATATATATATATATATATATATGTATATATATATATATATATATATATATATATATATATATATATATATATATATATATATATATATATATATATATATATATATGTAGTAAAATAAATATAAAATGTACAATATAAAATAGAGTTATATATTATTATAATACATTTTAAAATATTTTATATTATTTAGATAATTTAAAAAATGTCTGTATCATTAATATAATAAATAAAATAAAAACATTCTAACCATCAGAAATTGAGCAGTTAATACTGACTGATATATTAAAAGATAACCATGGTTTGCAAAAGACATCTGTTGCATTTATTATTCCACTTAAATTGGCAACTGTTGCATTAAAATCAAGATCATACTTCATTTTAAAAGTTTTCATAACAAGTGGTGAAGCTGTTGTTTTTGCTGTTGGTACCAATGAATAAGTAAAAGAATTAGTAAAATTTTTGGATAAGGTAGAGTTTATAGTGTTAAAATAAAAACTTTGGCGGTTATTTATTTGAGTGTTGACATTGATTGGAAAGTTATAAGATTCCATATTCATAAATGTTGTTGTAATAATTACATTTGAGATATCAAATGTACTCTTTACTAAAGACACGTCCTCAGTGTAGTTTACTGGTGTTATTTGAATTGAGGTTGGAGACACATTATCTGCGTAGTTTATAGGCATTGTTTGAATTGAAGTTGAAGACATATTTACAGCGTAGTTTATAGGCATTATTTGAATTGAGGTTGAAGACGCATTTTCAGTGTAGTTAACAGGTTTTATTTGAATTGAGTTTGAAGACATATTTACAGTGTAGTTAATAGGTTTTATTTGAATTGAGTTTGAAGAAATATTTACTGTGTAGTTAACAGGTTTTATTTGAACTGAGGTTGAAGACATATTTACAGTGTAGTTAACAGGTGTTATTTGAATTGAGGTTAAATAAAAGGAGAAATTTGTATATGATGTATTAAAAATTGATTGGTTTACTTCAATTTTACTTAAAAGTTGAGCTGCAATTCCTTCCATTAAATTGATGCAAACAAGCATGCAAACAAAAGCTAAAAAAAGATAATATGCCTATAAAACACTTATTATATCAAATAACATATATTTAATGTATTTTTATTATTATTTTTCAAATTTACTCCGCAAGCAACCTTAAGTTACTAGAAAAAAAAAGAATAGAGTCATAGACCAAGGAAACGGTTGACATAAGACTTGAAAAGTTGTAGGTTGCATGAGTCAGGAAAATATAAAGATGGAAGAGAGTTCCAAAGAGTTGAAGTGCAGGAAAAAAAATTAGACAATTATAAGTTTTTAGAGCATGCAGGAAAGGATACAGTAAAAGAATGAGACTTTGCTGAACGACGAGTTTAGCAAAAATGAGTTTTGGTTGGTGGAATTAGAGATGATAGCTCCTTTGAGCAGCGACTATGGTAGTAAGAAAAGAGAAAGAGACGCAACATTACAACAATGAGAGGCCTCTATTTTGTTGACATAATTAATTGACAGTCCCTAAGGCAAGCTGTGACAATTGATTAAAAAAACCAGTTGTGGATATGCCAAGAGATATTGTGTTATAACAGCTGCTTCTAATTTTAATGTAACTTATTTATTTTAAATAGTGTTTTTGGATTTTATATAAAAAAAGTTTTGAATTAAAAAAAAAATCAATATTTTAGTGTTTTAATATTTTCAAAAGTTCCAATAATTTAGTTTATTACCCAATAATACTTTTAAAAAATTAACATCAACATGTTTATATTCTAATAATAGTATTGTTTACCCAATGATTCCATTCTTTTAAATAACCAAAATTTTGTACTAAATAAATACAAAACTATATTTTCAAGTAATTAATAACTTTTAAACAATATAATAAATGTAAAAATCTAATATCATTTTATGATTATTTCAGATAAAAAATAACCAGACACCTATTTCACCTTGTAATTGACTTTCAATAACTTATCATAAACAAAATGAATAACAAAAAAACTTACTAATTAAAATAATGAAACATAATAAAGCGTACAAATTAGTAGCTTTGAAAAAGTTGTTTTTACTAATAGTCACAAAGTTCTTTTACAGCAAAACTATAAATTAATATTAAATAGCAATCAGCGACAAATGAAGTTTACGCAAAACATCTTTTGGCAGTATGTAAACATATTGCCAAGGTGAAGATTTTGATAAGTATCAGCTTAATGTTTTAGCAATTAACTCTATACAAAATTTGTAACTCTATACAAATATTTGCAATAAAATGTAACTCTATACAAATATCTGCAATTGAATATCAGGATGATTGTATCAAAAATTTATAACAAGAATAAATTCACAAGACATCAGAGAAGGTACAAGAAAACAATGCAATATCTGAATAAAATGTTTACTATAGCTAGAACTTTGGAGTTTTGAAATAAGAGAGCCTGATAAAAAGAAAAATTCAGAAAACTATTGTCATAATTACACATTAGGTTTTAATGTTTTTACAGATTTTGTTTCTACATTGCTAGAATAATCAAAAAGTCATAACAATTAAAACCAAATTCTGCTTTAACTTTCTTTTTTTTTTACAACATCTTCATTTCCAACAAGGCTGCAAGCAACCAATATTAGAGTTAAAAGTTACTAAAACAGAAAAAATGAAGCTTATAGAGCAAAATAACGATTGACAGATGACTTAAAATATTGCAAACTATATGAATCACGAAAACAAGATGAAGGAAGCAAAATCCAAAGAATTGATGTTCAAGGAAAAAAACTGGACGAATAAGATTTTTTAGAGCACTTAGGAACACTTGCAGTAAAAGGATAAGACTTAATTGAATGACGAATAACACGAGAATAAATTTTAGTAGATGGCTCAAAAGACCCTAGCTCTTTAGAGCATTACCCATTATAGCATTGAGAAAGAGAAGCAACATTATGACGGTGTAAAAATAGTTGGAGGTTGGCTTCAAGAACAGGTCCAACTATGTTTACAATGCGTTTTTGCACCTTTTCTAAAAGGGAAAGTGCATCATTAGAGGATCCGGCCCAGATATAGAGATAGTATTCCATACAAGGACGGATTTGAGATTTATAGAGATAAAGAATAGAATCCAGAGTAAGAAAGTGGCAAGCACAATAAAGAGATGCAACCTTAGCAGATGTTATTTTTGCAATTGATTTGATATATGGTTTCCAAAAAAGATTAGAGGTAAAGGTTAAACCTAGAAGATGAAGGGTAAATGCCTCACCACGTAAATTACCGTTCATAAATATAGGAAGATCTAGATTATTGCAATAACGGTTAGCTGAAAAAAATTGAGTTTTATCTGAGTTAAAGTTTACCAGCTCCTGTAAGCCCCATGCTGTAGCAGAAGTGGGGTCTTTTTCAAGCTCAAATTCTCCTCCAATCAATCAGAGAGTGTTGGCTTCTTATCAAGAGAAGTATATATAGTAGTATTATTGGCAAACAATGCCACCTTAAATGTGAGAATATCTGGAAGATCATTAATGTAAATTAAAAAGAGTATAAAGCCAAGGATATGACCATGAGGAACCCCTGAAGTAATAGGATATGAAAAAGAGGGCTGTCCATCAAGGACAACTTTTATGCTACGATTGGTAAGAAATGGTTCAATAATCTTAAGGATGTTACCTGATACACCGTAATAACTGTAGCAGAAAGAGAATACTGGAACTGTAGGAATCACAAACATTCAAGTTTGTCAAGTAAATCAATTTGTAATAAATGAGTATAGGTTGGTTATTTTGCAAAGTTGCCCTCTAAACTAACAGCCGCAAGAATATGACTCTTTTTAATCAACTTCAAAAATACAATGCTTTCACATACATGATTAAACTACCTTGAACATAGAACTGATTTAATAAAATCTTTAATCAGCTTTGAAAATACGATGCTTTCATTTACATGATCAAACTACCTTGAACATAGAACTAATACACGATCTTGAAAATAGAACTGAATTTGACAAATAATATGAGAGCGATAACATTTTATATTGTAACTTATTTCAACGTCTTAGCAAATATATGTAAGAAACTTGGTTGTTGTGATTGTGCAAGAGAATGTAAAATTATTGATATAAAAGTAAAAAATGAAGTGATTTTCACATTGTATTAAAGCATTACGTTTTGATTGTAGTTTGGTGAAGTCTATTTACCACAATTGAATCAAGTTAATAAGTGTTGACATCTGTGTTCAACCTTGGCTGCAATCGAAAGGTTGAATACAGATATCAACACTTATTAACTTACTTGTTATCATTAATTATTATACTTATCATTAGAATTTGATAAAAAGATTTTTTATCTTAGAATAGCTTTTTTATCATTTTTTTGTTTCAAGAAACTTAAGGTGGTTTATCTATAAAAATCAGCCGCAAAACTAAAAAACTATTATTATTTTTATTATAGTTGATATTTTTTTTTAGTTTTACGGTGATAATATTTTTTTTAAACTATTTTAGTTTGTTTTTTATTTAACAAAATCTAAAACAAAGAATTTGACAATGTATACGCACATAGCACGTATAAAATTTATCTGTAATGCCTAACGAAACACATGTTTTTCAAAGCAAACAAAAAATTTATTTGTAAATATGTATGTAATGTATACTTTGCTTTATTTGTTATGCAAACTATAAAAACTTTGATTTTGTTTCAAAGTAACAAAACTACATTTTTAACTCTAAAACTTAAAGCGTTTAGTTATATTTTTTAGGTTGTTTCGAGCTTCATTTTAATTTTGCATATTTTTATTTTATGAAAATTATACATATCTAATAAGGAGATCCCTTTTTGGAAACAAATTCACAAAATAAAAAACCAAAATGTTGTGCTTGTTTAACAGGTCTTTGCAAAGTGGAAAACAAATTGGTTGGAAAAGCATACGAATATAATAAAAAGAAATTTAGTAATAATAAACATTAAAATTGTTCATGTCTTGTAAAACTTTTCTATTTAAAAAAAAATTGTGTTATTAAGAAAATAAAAGGGCTCCAAAAATTGTTTTAAGAAAAATAAAGGGCCCGTAAAAAAGTACAAAATTATTGGAGAGTGGAATATACAATAGAAAAATATCGGTAAGTGACGTGAAGTTTCATGGCTAAAGACAAAATGGATAAAATTGAGAAAAGGATCACTACCCGTATTCAAATTGTTCAAAATTTAGAAAGTGACACATTTATGTTGCTGAACGTAAAAATGAAAACTCACAAATGAAAAGCTAAGTGATCTTTTTGATCTCATGCAATTCATACCGTCTGTATATCATACCTTTTCTTGCTCTTAAAGGTGAAGAGCAGACAACTGATAGGGATCTAAATGATAATTCTGTTGACGAAAACCTTAATTAGTGCATATTGCATTACCTTTGGTCCAGGTATACCGTGTAGTAATAATTAATGTGAGATAAAAAAGACACGATTAAACAGTTCATTGTACCTAACCAACTTATTTGACTATAATTTTTAAACTTTAAAAATATGGAGCTGTCTAAACTTTTGATATTTTTTGAAATAGCCAATACAATATTTTAATAAAAAATTACTAATAAGTCATAGCAACAACATAATTAAATAAAAACAATAGTTTCAGAAATTTGAAGTATCAAAGTTGCCTAACCTTTTTGATATTGCGAAAGTAATCCACAGTAATAGTGGTATCCTAACTTTGAGTAGATTTTTTCATATGTCCATTGAAATGTATTTCAATTCAAATTTATAATATAGATAAAGTATTTATTCATATACTTCATAAATAGTGATTTACTATTTTAAGTGTTACTTTCACACCCAAAACAGTAAAATCAATCGTTTTTGTTAAGATGGTTGTGAACCGAGACAAACAGGACTGGGGCAAAAATATTAAAATAAATATAAAGAGAGAAAAATATGTTCTTTTATGCTTCATTTATACATGGCACCCCGTAACTAGGTTTTAAGAGAGGCGTTTTTAAAAAAGGATGAGCTTAGTTGCTTTATAGCTCTTAGCCTACTCGGATCTATGTCTAGATTTTTTTATAACCGTCGAAAAACCTGTTTTG